TTACAACGTCTAACAAAATTTGTTCGTCGCCTAATCGCGTCGTACTTTTTCTATTGTTTATTCTATTCACCTGCTGTACATTACCAACTATCTCAAATGCATATCCTCTATCGTCATCTTCATTATCATTCATTGACAATATTAACAATGATGACAACAATGATATTGATATTAACAATCGACGCTGGTTAATGTTAGATGAAACAATATCGAACAATAAATACATTGATCGTAATAAACGTGGTACTGGTTTTTATATTGTTCGTCAAGGCGATTATATTGTTCTTATTCCTGATTCGAAACATCATTTTACAAAAAATATACGTCCTTATATTGGTCGTCGATGATAGACATATATATGTATGTGCGTGTGTGTTTAATTTTTAAAAACTACCATCTTTAAAAATGTGCTTATTCCGAATAGCAGAGAATAAATAAAAACAAAAACAAGACCTACTATCATAATATTGTTGAAGTAAATCATTATCATTATCAGCACAGGACAATTGTTGAGATAAACATTGACTTATAACTGATTGATCAATCCATTGTTCAACAGATAGTCGAATATTTTCTTTATGATATATATCTTGTAATAAATGAATATATCGTTGAGAATTGGCATTTAAACGAACAATTAATTGCCATAATTGTTCATATAAATCTCCTGAAGTCTATAATCAAAAGAGAATATAAAAATTAATCAAAATCTGTTGTATTTCAGTTATACGCAACGTCTATGACCTATATAAGTGATCCATTAATGAGTACTTTAAATCTTCTTTATTCATAATAATTTATTAATATCTAAGCCAACTCTTCGAACTTCTAAGAATAACTTTAAAGTACTAGTAGTCATGTTCTATGACTCCTCTTGTGTCTGTTAAAAATAAATCAGTTGTAATGGAAATGAAAGCCTTGTGAATATTGTCATACTGTACTCTTTCAAAGTCAGCTTGTCAAGAAAAAATTAGCAATTACATAAACAAATATATTATCTGTCATTTCAAATTATCGACTAATTTTTAAAGAAATTATTGATCTACATAATCATTTTTACAGCATATTTAGTTTTATACTTCAAAAAAAGATAACAAAATCAAACTACTATCTAAATATTACATTTCAGATGTAGTAGGCGTTTACTATAAAGTCACGTATTAATATAATAGTTTGATTAAAGAGTTGTTATACACAAAATGAATATGAATCTAATCAGCCTTGATTCAATCAACAACTGTATATTGAGAATAGGCTTATTTTAATTTATGCAATGAACTATTAAGGTGCTAAAACTATTTGAATAAATATAGAATTATTAAAAATATCTTTTGAAAATCTTCTACATCATGAGAGTATAAATCAATCGTGCGTAGAACGTAAAAACTCTATATGTGGCAATGTTTGACGTAATGAAGAAAAAAAAGTTGTTACAATAGAATCCCAGTAGGATTTATTATGGAATAATATATACTGTCAATGTGTGTTTTATGATTGAAAGAAGATGTTAACTTCAATATATCACGACTTGTGTATAGTGGGGGCGAAAACACAAGGGTTTTACATGTTTCTCCTACGCTTAATTATACAATAATGATATCTATTACAATCGAGATAAATTAATTGAATCAAACTACTTCATTTGTTATAATAAAAATATGTAAAGTTCAATAGAATTGACATATTCTCTGTATAATTTCGACAGAATTATAAATGTCAAATAACCTATTCTTTTATACGCCTACACATCGTTTGTATGATCGAATATTCAACAAAATAAGATAAGTTTTTCAATACATTTTGAACAAAGAACTATCAGGAAATACTCTTAATAAATAAAGTAATATATAAAAGAGATTAGATAACATCCGGGTACTTTGCGACTGACTTCTTTATTCTTTTTTAATATTGATGATTTTTTACACAAAAGTTACGTAGTTTGAAATATTAAAATTTCTTTTGATAAAACTTTACAATTCATTCAACTATAGAACATAACCTTATTTAGTTAAATAAATAATCATTACTAATGAATTATGTCAAAAGAAGAAAGATATTTATGACTATTTAAGTATTCACGATTTACCGAATTATTAAAGGATTTCTTTTATTCTTTTATATTATCTTTCATATATATTCTCTATAATTTGCATTATATATGAAGATCATTTGGATTTATGATCATAAAGAATTCTTTTTTCTTATAAAAGAAAACTAAGCTATTCAAACAATACTAATCTTTATAGAATTTTCTCGAATGAAATACAATGATATACATAGAAAGTGTTTAGTTTTTCATATATATAATTATATTTTAGACAAAAATACTTTTTAAAGTGAAGTTGAAAGTATTGCTCGATTGAAGTAGAGATGTCGATTTTACATAAATAATCATATTAATCAATAAAACTTTTGAAATACTCTTGTATAAATTTAAGTATCAGCTAATGTCAATATTAATGCTAAGTAAGCATTCTTTCATTATAAATGGTTCATGACATTTTTTATTAATCTAGAAAATTGAGATTTTCGTCACGAATGTATTTATTCAAGGCTATTAATTTCGACTTTCGAACTAAGATTGAATATAACTGACATACATGATTAAGAGTTATGTTGTGTAAAAATACGTTTTATTTCTTATCACTTTTTTCTGAAAGATATCATAATATACCAAACACTTCGTCGTCATCTACTAATTTATCATTATGAATATATTGTTCTAAGTCAAGTCAAGTGTGCTCTAAATTTGGAGTTTACGGATATCTAAGTTTTCGCGAAAAACTGTAATTATCTGTTTTTGATTGCTCTAATCGATACTCTGAATTGTGCTGAGTCGACTGATGATGCCGAAGAAAAAAAGCACACAGTTACAAGCCACAAGTTATCGAAAGTTCGAAGCTCACTTAACTTGACCATTTGCTATGGATAAAATTAGGCTTTGTCATTCTATCGCAATTCATTAAATATAAAATAATACTATACCTGTTTAAGACCATGTGATAAAATAGCTAGAATAGCTAGTCGAAGTCTTTCAATTGCGCCATATTTTGTTGTTAAGGAATCACCTCGAAATTGAATTAATAATTCAACTGTTGATTTTAGACTGGATAAAAGACTATTGACAGATTGGGATCTAAATAATAAAATATACATACAATACTTGATAAAATAGTTTAATGAATTAAACTTACGGAGTATTCATTCTTTATACAATAAAAACAAGCAAAATCCAAATTATTCTAAATCATATTGATTTCGATTTTATCTAGATAAATTATATATTTTAGAATAAAAAAATTGATAATTCATCTTCGAAATAACAATTCTTTATTAGAAAAATTTGATATAATTAAGATATAGTGATGTGGTGAGTCAAAGTTTACTATAAGATAAAAGAAGTTGTTATCAATACTGAGTAATTTCAGATAGTGAAATCAAATAGAAGTATATTAATCATTTGTGTATATGTCGAAAATTGCTTTTGGTAAATAACGAACTATCTTTCGATATAAAAAATTACCCTTATTTTACAAGAATGCTGAACTTTCGTTTGTTTAAAAATAAATTTCATCGAATTTTGATTGCAATACCTCGCTATTCGTTTTATATCCAAACAGAATTTTTTTATAACAATGAATTTTTCAGGAAAAAATTCAAATCACCAAAGTAACTCATAAGAATTCATTCTATTTTAGGTTGTCGAGTTGTTTAGTTTTGAATTTTATTATAACAAAAAAAAATGTTATTCTTATTAATTTAAACTTAAACATTTCTTACATATATTTATTGAAAAAAATTTCAATTAGTCATAACAAGAAAAAAAGTAAACATCATGTGTGTCGATCCATATTTTACCTAACCGATATCTTTTCGTCCAATCTGTATGGAGAGGAGCAAGAGCAAACATTTTGTCTGTCAAAATAGACGTGTATTCATTTTCATCATGTGTACTATGATATGATCTAACGTATATTTTTTTATTTTTCAGATGTAAAAAGAACTTTCAATTAGTTTCCAAATCCTCTTTTTTTTTCTTTTTCTTCCATCCGTCCCTTTTATTTTCGGGTTATCATCATCCAGAATAATATGTCATCCGATCAACATCAACAAATACCTGCTAAAGTTCTTGATGACTTATGCAGGTACTTATTTTGTCTCTAAATTTATATTTTGTTTTAATTTTTTTTTGTTATAATTTAGTCGTTTTATTATAAATATTCCAGCTGAACAACGTGAAGATCTTGTTCGTGTATTATTTGCCGTTGAATTAGCTCATTGGTTTTTTATTGATTTCTATTGTGAAGATTATAATGATTTACATGTTTGTAATATAAAAGATTTTGCCCAACAAAGTAAATATATTTTATTTTCAAAGAAAAACAAAAAACATCGATTCATTTAGTTTTTCAACATTGTCCATTTTTATGTAATTATGTTCATAATCTTGATACAATTCTATCACGTTGGCGTGGTTATAAATTAAGTGTACCAACATATGGTGCAGTTTTGCTTGATCCAACATACGAACATGTTTTACTTGTACGAGGATTTTACAATCGTGAAAGTTGGGGTTTTCCAAAAGGAAAAGTACAAGAAAACGAAAGTCCGTTAAAATGTGCCATACGAGAAGTAAAGAAAAAGAAGATTATTACGAAAGAGAAACAAACAAATCTATATTTAGGTTATGGAAGAAGTTGGTTTTGATATGAAAGATCGTGCTTTTGATGATCAATATTTAGAACGTGATCTCAATGGACAACTTATTCGATTATATATAGTTAAACAAGTACCACTTGATACAAAATTTGCTGCTAAAACAAAGAATGAAATTAAAGTAACTCTATATATAAATAAACTGTTAATTTTAAATTTTCTTTATTCCAGGAAATGCGTTGGTTTCGTCTTTCCGATTTACCATGTCATAGACGTGACACGACACCTCAAATGACATTAGGTCTTAATCCAAAAGCTTTTTTTATGGTTATACCATTTATTAAGTAAGAATTAAATTATTCTCATAGAATTTATCTACATGAAAAAATAATCTTATTTTTTTTTGTAGAGATTTACGTCGTTGGATTAATCAAGAGCGTGGAATTTATTCATCATCAAATGGTGATTCAGATAATGCAAATGAATATATAAAACGACGTGAACAAGGTCATTTACAACATCATCATTATCCTCAAGTCCGAAGTCGAAGAACAACATATCATGGAGGTACAGGACCAACACCAGCTAATACTCGTCAACCAACAATTTTACAAAAACTTTTTGGTGTTGATCATCAAACATCTTCATTTAGTAAGTATAAAAATATATGATGAACATAAAATCTTCATTTTCGTTTCAGTTCGAGATAATACATCTATGAATGAACAACGAAAAAATTCAAGTAAAATTATTGCTAATCTTACAACGCATAGTGCAGATGAACAACAAGTTCCAACATCACATAAATTTCAAACACAATTAAGTGTACAAGATACAATTCAACGGCATTTTTGTCAAATACTTAAAAATGATTCGCTTACTGTTACGGATAATACATCGATTACAGAAACATTGCTTATGAGAGAAAATAGTTCATCAACAACAGCTACATTAAGTATGTTATATGATATAAATTGAAATTTGATTCTAATCATATGAGAAAGAATAAAGTCTACCTACAAATTGTTTATATGACCTTCGAGATAAATAAAAATAGGAACAGATGGATATTAATTTAATAAAGAAACCATTTTTGTTTTGTCAACAATAATTTATTCAAATATTGAAGTCTATGCTTGTTTATTGTCTTTTGTAATGCAAAGAAAGAAACGATAAAGATCTTGAATATCAATAGTTCATATGTCCCCATAAAATGTTCGATCTGAATGACAAAATCTATATATTCCTCATGAAAATCTCAAGAGATGATAATGATTAATGTTTATTGCATGATCAATAGTATGAATAATAATAATAAAAAAATTCTATTCTAAAGCAAACAAAAAAATCTGATCTGTTATTTTGTACGAAAGAATAAAATTTTTATTTTCATCTAGTTGCTACACAATTAACACCTCCAATGTCCAATGATGATGAAAATAAACGTCCGTTAACGAGTAAAAATCGTTCAAATAATAATGAATCATCATCACATAAAGAGAAAAAGACTGCTAATATAACAAATCAAGTTCAATATCGAATTTTACAACGTGGTGAACTAGATGAATCAATATCAACAATAAAAAATGAATTAAATACATCTGAAAATAGTACTTCAGCTAAGTCTCAACGTAATCGGCGTAAGTTTAAATAGTGAATAAATTACTTTTTTTTCATATCATATATATATATAGGTCGTGCAGATCGTCGTTTAAATAATGATCTTAACCGTAAACAACAAAATCAACAGCAACCATTTTCAAATTTAACAAATAATAATTCTTGCAATAGTCAAAATTCTCATACGTTTCGTTATGGTGGTCCACGTTGTTGGACGCAATTTCGTTTAAATCGTTCTGAAGTCTTTCGTTGTCTTCGAGAGTAATACAGAATGTTTTCTTCTTGTGTTTTTCTTTATACGTTTATGTACATAAGACAGTCAACTCTTCTCTCTTTTTTTTGCTGTACGCATAGCTTTTGCTTTTGTTTCTCATAAATCTACGTGTGTATATCGTCGAATGATAGTGTTTGTATGTGCAACACATTATATATCTATCTATGTATTTATCTGTATGACTTTTTTCTTTTTGTGGATGTACTTCTGAATGATCAATTCGTGTTTTTTTTGTTGTGTTTTCTTTTTGTTTCGTTACATTCCCGTTGTTTGTCTTTTGTCTTCCGATGACCACCGGTTTAAAATTGTTCTTGAATTTTTTTTTCTCGAACAAAACCTGTGTCTCATTCTCTATGTGCCAAAACTTGATCGTACTGTATTATTCGAGTTTTTTTTTTGTTTGCATTTAGTTTTGTGCTATCTATAAAAAGAAAAGATGAATATATTTAAGCACAAGCAACAGTTTGTTGTAGTTATATATATATATGTATGTATTTATATATATATAAATCATTCTCATCGCGTTGTTTACTCATAGTCGGCCAAACAAATGTGATGAATCTTTATTCTTTACGTTATTATTGTTGTTCGTCATAATAGATGATTGTTTGTCTGTTTTCTTTTTTTTTGCATATTTTGTCTTGAAATTTTCTTTTTTCTTTCGCGTTGCGTGCTCGGATAATTGTATCTCAGTCTATTTGTACACACAAACGAATGTGATATGCATACATTTCTTTTTATGTGTATGTGTGATCATTATTGCTGTTACCTCTATTATTTCCTTTTTTTTGTTTGTTGCTACTCTCTGTATTGACATTTTGGGTTACAGTTAAAAATATGTTTGTGTGCATGTGTGGTTTTTTTTCTCCTTGTGTGTGTCTTGGCAAATGTCTATGTAAATCGTTGTGCGTATATATCAGAAGAAAAATAAACGAAACATCAAGAGAATCATCTTAGCTCACTTGTGTTCAATGTCATTTTAACATGAGTACAATCGACCAGGGAATAACAAATAAGTGGATTGCATCATACATCGGGCTGTTTAGTTTGCCGATGTTAATTTATTGTTTTTTCTTTTTTATGATAGTAATTATTGAGTAAGAGGAAAAGAAAAGAAATGTCTTTCGTCGTTTCTCTAGTTCTTCCGTCATCTTATCTAGCATGTGCTTTGCTTTCACAATGATAAGTCATTAACAAACGACAACAACTAAATTCGGTTTTTTTTCCAATTTTTTTTCTTTCTAACTTTTTCTAACAGAATGGATGACATTTATATGTGAACGACAGCAATGGCAAACGAGATGCTAGTCATCTGCACACCCGAGAGAGCAATAGAAATAGAGACAGAGAAAGAGAAAAAGAAAAACTCCAATCTCTCTGTCTCTCCCGCTCTCTCTCTCTCTCTTGGTTTCTTCTTCAGTCGTTGTATTCAGAAAGAAGAATGTCAAACCTAATAACAACAACACACAGAACCCATCATTCATTTTGTCAAATGATTTTGGAATATTAAAACCAAATATATAAGTGCCTATTGGACTCAAAACTACATCTAATGGATGAACGATCGATAAAAAATGGTGCACATCAAAAATTGATTAGAATGTTTGTTGACAATAATAGCGATGAGAAGAGAAATATGATTGAAAGACAACCATCAAGTAAAACTGGTATGTAGAATAATATAATTTGAGATATTGAAATAATCTAAATATTTCATTTATCAAGGGATATCTTTCTACAATAATAGTACTTTGTTAATCAGCTTTTTCTTTCTTCTTCTTTTGTAAAGATTTCTTTTTTTCATCTTACTTCATTCTCTATTTATTCACATCATTTATTCTATTATCTACTATCATTAGGCTATCCATTACCATCTATGATGATTGTTGGAATTATTTCATCTCTTATGATGGTTATATTTATTATCGGATTAGCTTTTACTCGATATTATATATATAATAAACGACGTAAAACTGATCCAAAAGATTTATCCTATAGTGTATCAAATTATTGGCGTCAACCAGTTCCATCAACATCCGTCGATAGTTTTATTCCACTACCTATAGATAATAGTCGTCATCAATCTAATCAAGAAATAAATGAAACGAGTCGAATCCTTAAAAGTTCATTTTCATGGCCGGAAGCAACATTACTTCATCAACAGCAACAGCAACAAGAAAAAGGCGAATATGCATCAACGATATCATCATTATCAAATTCTTCTACAATGGAAAATATTCTTCAACCAGCTTCATTAACTTTTACTATTCGACGGGATGAAAAAATTGGATCATTATTTGTTCATATTCTTAGTGCAAAAGATCTTTTTGTTTATCGTCGTAATCGACAACCAACAGTTATAGATTCGTATGTTAGAATTGAACTTGTATCAACAGAACGTAATGATAGTGAAGGTAAATGTCTATTTTAATATATACTTTCATTAATCAATTACTTTTTTCTATTTAAAGAATCATTTCAATCAATGCGCACTCATATAATTAAAAAAAATCCTCATCCGATTTTTGATGAAGTCTTTGAATTTCCAAACCTTCATCAAATTAAAAATCCTAATAATCTATCTGTATATTTTACTTTATTAACATATGATACATTTACACGCGATGAAATCCTTGGACAAGTTGTATTTCCAATTGTTTTACCGGATGGAATAACAACAAATGCTCTTGATACAAAGGAAACGACATTTACACGAGATATAATACCTCGTCATCAACAGGTATAGATTAGAAAAATATTGAATTTATTTTTATCTAAAACATATAAATATTTAGTTAAGTAATCAACAACTTGGACAGATGCTTATCTCATTATGTTATCAACCAAAAGATAATACAATAACATTAATTGTTTTAAAAGCATCCAATTTACCACGTATTGGTACAACAAGATTGATTAGTTAGTAATCTATCATTTTCTATTACGTACATTTAAATACTTTTTTGTTCTTTTTAGATCCTTATTTTAAAATTTATATGTTCTATAAAGGTCAACGTATAATTAAAAAACGAAGTAGTATTAAACGAACAACACAATGTCCTGTTTATAATGAATGTTTTACATTTCATATACCTGATAATGATTTACAAAATATTCATTTTGATATAATACTTTTCGATTATGATCATCATATGAAACATGAACCAATTGGTACATTATCAATTGGAAATAATACTAATGATATAAATCAACATTGGAATGATGTATGTCATAGACAAATTACGAAACAAATAGCACAATGGTATCAATTAAAACCATTTAATATATTGAATTACTAACAGAATAAAATGACGTTTATATGTATGTCACATACATAAAAGCACAAAATATGATTATCACATATTCAATTGTATTTATGTGTTGTTGTCTGTGTGTCGTTTGGTTATCGAATAAATAGATAGAGAAAGAAATTATATGTATTTTTGATTTAAAAAAATATTTTCGTTGGAATATAAAATCGAAATAATAGATAAACATCTTTCTTTCTTTTTTTGTTTGTTTCTAATAAATATTAGTATTCTTGATCATTATAGAATTCTAAAAAGACAAATTGCCGACTTGTTAAAACGGAAGGATTTCTGCTTCATATCCGGTATAACAGATCGATGTTGTTCTACTAGATTTTCAATGTATTGATGAGGTATATTTATGAAAATATTACAGTATATGTAAAAAAACAAAACTTTCATAAAATAGTGTACACTGATTTATTTGAATAATTATCGTTGGTTTAAAAAGATGATTGATGAACTCTGATTTGATTTCGAAAGACTCATATATCATTCTGTAATAAATATAAATTATTGTTTTTTTTTTACAAGAAATTATCATTAATCAATCAATAAAATGAGCGTGACTTGCAATAAATTAAAAAACCTAGTATCTAAAGAGTAAAAAAATGAAATTCAAAAACAGAAGTTCAAAAAAAAGGCGGCTGTTCACCTATAAATAGAACTAGATCTATGGGATTTTATTTCGAAGATTAGTTATAATCTCTTATCTGTATCATATTCAGTGACTTCAATTAACCATAAAAATGGAATACTCATAATACCCTTTTTACTCTATCATGCAAAGCTAAATACTTCTTAGCAGAACTAACTCTACTAATAAATAAGAAAGCCTATTTACTTGACTTTATCTGTTTATGCCCATATCTTGTGGATAACATTCTAGAACAATTCGTGCCATTAGATATTTTCTTTCGAGTTATAATTATTTTAGCGAATCCTTACTAAATAACAGTATATCATAAAACATCATCTATTGTGTATTGAAACTTTCCAGTTTGAAGGTCATATGTTAAGATATTCTGAATTTAGTTAGTTATCATAATTCACAGAACTAAAGCTGTAATAATATAAATACATTCAAGGTTCTTTTATAGATTATAAGCCATAGCGAATGATTTCATCTGGATAGATTCTTTCTCTCTTGAGTCTGATCGAATTCAACATGATTTTATATCTCAATTCCTCGATGACAAACTATCGTTAGGATAAATCCGCAAACGATCAAGATAAAACAAAACAAGATTTATTGGTCTAATCTCATCACTCGATAAAAATCAACAATAGTCAATTACATCAATAGACTTGATGTCAATTTCAAATTAACTAATCAAACTATACATGGGGTATGTATTGACATAATCAAACATCGGAAATAAATAATAAAATCATCACAACGATAAAACTCTATTCTATTATTTTTAAAATCCGAAATGAAAAAAAAGATTATTTCGATTTAAATAATTATTGAAAAAACAAAACAATGCGTCTAATCAATCATCTTCACCATACAGATTTGTCCGTTTAGAGCGCCACAATCACCCAATATTATATGCATATATATATATATTTTCTTTTTTTTTTAAGCTAGTGTGTATACACAGATATATACATATTCTTTCATTCATCCATTCTTTCTTTGTCCTTCGTGTTGAACATATATGTCGAGAGAAATTAAATTAAAGGTATAGATTATATTACAAAACGAGCAAATCTTTTTCTAAATAAGTTACAATAAAAATAAAAAAAAGAAAGAAGAGTTTGTAGTTTCTTTACAAATTATTTCTATAAAAATATGTGAGCATTTCTTTTTTTTTTTTTCTTCTCAGTTTCTTTTTTCTGTATTTTGTCTGTCTTATTTGGCATTCGTCGTCAGCAATAGAAACATTGTCGTCATCGGTATTATTTTCTTTATTATTATTATACTTAGAATAACTTTTTTAAATAATATTATTATACAATGAACGTTTTTAAGGTTGATCTTATTTTACAAATGGATCTGTGCCCTTGACCTCGACCTTTTCTCTGATCATTATAACCTCTCTTTTTTTTTATAGTAAAGAATGAACGACACAATTGAATATGTATACTATATAGAAATGACCATTACCACCTGTTCGATAGATTTTTTTTTGTTCAATAAAAAGTAATTATTAAATGAGAAGAGATTTTCTTGTTAGACATATGGTTTAATTTATCGTGATTTATATCAATTATATGTTAGGTTTGTTTTATAAAATGTTGATGTCTATTATATTGGTTAAAAGACATTCATCTGTTATTTCATTACTCTATATTTACAGTTGTGTTGTGTATTGTCTTTCTCTTTCTCAACTGACGTGTCCTGTCCTTCGAATCGACTTGCGATTTTCACATTTTTTTTCTCGTCCCATTGCATGATTTTCATGTGTACAAAAGAGAGAGAGAGATTGTGTGCGTATGTCTGCTGTCGACTATTTGCACAATTACGTTTGCTCGTTCTTAGGCGCAATGTGTTCATATTCGTTTTATCGTTTGAAAAAACGAGAGAGAGACAGAAGAAAAAAAAGACATACAGAATATTTGTTGATTTTTTATTTCTCTCTTTTTTTTTTTTCTTAAATATACTTCTTCGTCTTTTGCCTCGATAGGAAAAAAACACGATGATATAAAAGTGTGCATGTGTGTGATATCGATATTAGACCATCACTATTGTTGCGAATAAAGAAAAGAGACTTGGATAAAGTGTAAAGAGAGAAATGACGACTTATTTATTTGTTTACGAATAGAGCGCTACAACCGCCTACTCTTAATGACATTCTCTGCAAAAAAAAATGCGAAGGAGAATAAGGGGAGAGATGAAAAATAGAATATGCTTGACTCGCCGTTATAGTGTGTGTGTTGTTCGGGGAAGGTTAGTTAAAGCACAAATGTATAGTTCTTTCTCTATCATAGTGTGTGTCGACGTCTCTTTTTCCTTCTTCTTCTTTTTTCTTTATCGCGAACGTCCATGTCTATCTTCAGTGCATCAATGGATGATTGTTGGATTCGTTGTTCGCATCATCAACATCATACATATGTATATATGTATGTATAAATATACATATTCAACTAAGCTAGACAAAAAAATTTGAACATTGAACTATTTGAGGGTTTTTTTCTTCTCTTTCTTTCGTGTCATTTTCTTTCCTCGAACTTGTTCATATATTTGTTACAATTATGCTCATAAAAGCAATCATAACAGATATTCTATAAAGCGAGATATCACGAATGATATTTTATATAGATGATAGGATATTGACAATATCATTAAATTGAGATTTTTTCTTTTAAATCAATATAAATTTGATATGATAGATTGATTGAAAGTTATGTTATTGCATAAGTGTCTCACTCAAGAAGATTCTATAATACGCTGAATAACGACGATGACGATAAAACATCAACCCTTCCCACCAACAAAAAAAAATAGGAGAATGGAAAAAAACCGGAATATAAGGGTAAGTCGTGTTCGTCGAGTAAAAAGAGAGTAGACATATGATAGCGATGAATAACCCCTTTCCGCCACGTCCAACACTGCCGGTAAACAAAACACATCAACATGCATTGGATGGAATTGCACGGAGATGTGAAGGTTCTGTTCCTCACCTGTCTCTTTGTTATTTGCAATGTGTTCTCATTGTTGTTATTATTTTTATTTTTTGTTTCTTCTTCTTTTTTCTTTTTTCCTTTTATTTCTTAAGTTATTCGATAAGTTAAATACATATTCATATGCACATGTTAGTCATTCAAAATCATTTCTTCCTTTCTATAAACGACTTGTTCAGTTTACTTTTTTTTTTTCGTTTTCTGTTGAAATGACAAAACGAAAGTATTTTATTATTTCTCTACATTTCTAGATATACATATACATATACATATACATATAATACTATCAAGCAGACAATTCATACCGAAACAATCTTATAATGATATCAACTAGTGGACTTAAACGTAAATCATCTTCATCATTAGATAATAGTAATGTAATAACAACACCTAATCATAATTCAATATCAACATTAACAAAGAGATTCCGTGGTATTGCTTATGATGGGTAAGTTGAAAAGAATAAAAAGCGAAGAGCGTCGTTGCGCCCGCTTGCCCGCTGCCTTATTCGTTAGTTCAGTCATCCTACATTTCTTTTTTTTTTCTATCCGAATATGATGATTGTCGTGGTAACGTTCAATTGGTCGTCCTCGTCGTCGACGTTAGTAGTGGCGTTCCACCATCACCATCAGATAGATATTTTCATCCCTTCTTTTTCTTCTTTTTTTTTCTTTTCTCTCCTTATTTCTCGTCCCACCTTCCGCCATTCACTGCTTCCGAACATTAAATCGAACCTCGCCACCGTTGTTACTTACTCGTCGTATACATGTTGTTTCGTTCTTTTTCTTTCCTTTATCTTGAACGAACAACAACAACAACAATAATAATAAGAAGAACTATCGTTGATCATCAGCTTTGTCTCAAATAAACTAACATAATCTTGTTATGTTGATTTCTTTTAGAAAGAACAATCAGAATGAACATCGAATGTCATTATTATCATCAAAAATTAAATCTGAACAAGAATCGAAAAAGATGATGATTATCAACGGTACACAAAATAATACTTATAAACGATTAGATGAATCTGAAATGACACCACATATGCTTACTGAATATCGTCGTCTTCAACATGAATTACAATGTCAAGAGGCTCTACTTGTTCTTATGCAAAAGCTTAAAACAAATCAAAGACTTATATCACAAACAAATAACAATAATAATAATAATAATGGTATAAAACCACGAACAACGACATCAACAACAACGCCAGCAACAGCAACAAAACTAAATCAACAATTATCATCAATAACAGATGGAAAAATTCCATTAACAGCAACTAAACAACAATCAGTAATATTTTCTTTTATAAAAAAACGTATTGTTCTTATTTTTTCTTTTTCTTTTCAAAAAAAAAGATTAATTCAAATCGATCAACACCAACAAAACCACCTCATCCGAATCAATATACTGTTAATCGTTCAAATAATAATTCACAAATATCCCAACAACAATCATCAAAAAATTCTCTATCGACACCTCAGGCTACTCGTCAGTCAAATAATAATAATAATAATAATCATAGTACTAATAATACCGCATTACCAGCAGCCGCAACGCGTATATCATCAACAGTACCTACATCAGCGACAAAAAATTCTTCTGTTACATCAACTACAAGCAGTTCATCAAAAAGTATATATACTCAACTCCTAGAAATATTAAAATTGAAATTTTTTCTTTAGGTAATGGTGTTGCTGCTGAACAACATTTATTAAATGCTAAATTAGCATTACGTAAACAACTCGAACAAACTTTATTACAGATTCCAACACCTAAACCGTCCATATGTGATTTAACATTTATTCCTGGTGTTAATGGTTGGTCTGAATTTCTTACTTTTCTTGGACTTGAACAAGCACTTAATACATACTCAGATATTGTTATTCGTCGTAATCCATCTGAAATTTCAATGAATTTGCCATATGTATGTGCCCAATGTGGTACGGATTGGTCTGTAACATGGCATGAAATGTCATCGAATAGTGATACAAATTCTGATGAAAAAATTTTATGTGATCGTTGTACAAAAACATCACAGAAGAAATTACTTAAACAAGATCATTCAAATCGTTTACGACAAGCATTTATTAAAGCATTACAACAAGAGAAAGAACTTGATGCTAAATTTCAACATCAATCATCGCCATCAACGGCGACAATAACTACGACTACTACGCCAACTACAAATAATACCGTCACACCGACAACAGTTAAACAATCGTCATCTTCTCAACAACATAGTAGTAAACATACGCATCAAACAAATAAACATTCGAATAAACCTTTATCAACAAAAACAAGTTCACATCATCATCACCATCATAATAATAATAATAATAATAGTACACATAATAATAATCATCATTCTCATTCACATCATCATCACCATCATCATCATAGTGGGAAAAGTAATAGTAGTAGTTCATCGAAAAGTCATAATGCTAATCTTTCAACAATTCCAACATTAACTCCAACACCAGCTGAAACATTAGCATCAACATTAGCTGCATTACAAACAAATGAACAAATGGAATTTTTTCAAAAACATTTTTTATCCAATATGCTTCCGTATGCTGTTGCTAATCAAGCAGCAGCACTTGCGGCTAAATCAAGTCAACAACAACAACAACAAGCAGCTTTAGCAGCATTACCAGCAATGGCTGCTTCACTTATGCGTCAACCAAATCCAGCTCAATATTTACTTGATATGATACCACAAGCAGCTAAACAACAACATCATCATCATTCGAAATGAATTTATCTTCTTCTTCTACTTTTTTTGTACAGTTTTTTCTTTTGTGTTCTTCTTCTTCTTCTTCTTCTTTGTCGTCGCTTAAAGTCATATGAAAGGAGTCATAAAGAAGATCTTCTGTTTTTGTTTTTCTTCTCTCACTTGTTGTATGTGTGTAGACTGCAATACAATTTTATCTTCATTTTCGTTTGCTTATCACGACATAACATAAGTTTGTACGAAAAAGATCAACATTTTCGATAAAGAAAATCATTTTTTCTTCTTCTTGTTTTGATAATTACTGAATATTTTCTTTTTCAAAATTCTAAGAAAGATCGAACTAGAGATATGCTTTCTTTTTCTTTTTTTCATGTTGTTGTTTTTTTGTTTTTTTTTTCTTTTGAAAACTTCAAAATATGTCAATTTTGATCTCAATCGTGGCAGTGCCATGAGAATAGATTCTGTTTTTGAAAACAATTGGTTCTTTGTGTTGTTTTTTTTCTCATTTTTGAAATGGAATATATGAAGAGAAATAAATAACTATAAGAGGAAAATGTAATATTATATAA